ATGTAATATTAAATGATACACAAATGTATCTACATAGATTTTAAATCACTAATTAGTTGAGGATATACACTTCTAGTCGCGAAAACACTTCATTTCAAGTGTTTGGAGTGACCCGGGTGACATTTATGGACACATATGGCTTAGATATGGAGTTTACTCTTCAAGAGTAAACTCTTAGAAGATTTTTCGGCCCTAAACACCACATCCTCATGAGTTTACATCTGTAAACTCATGAGTGGTGTTCTTAAGTGTTAATTGGTCTTATATCATACGATGGGTGATGCTAGGTTTGGTTCCAGGGCATTAGTAAGGGATTAAATAAATCATAAGGACCATTTGATGAGTTTACGGAAGTAAACTATGATTTTACGGCCGTAAACTCTCACCCACTCAATTCTTATGTGCTTTGATGGTCATAGGTTAATCATAAGTGATTCTACTCATTTTACAAGCCAAGGGGTGAATTTAGGGCACCATATAACCCATTTATAGGAGTTTCCGGACCAAGAACCCATTCTTGTAGGATTTACTGCCGTGAACACCTAAGGGAAGGGTTTTCATCAAGTTTAAGGCTTCTAATTCGATTGTGGTTGCTTCTAGTTATTAGTTCAAGGCTTAGGAGGTGTGTAAATGGCATTTTAACACCTAAAAAGGAGTTTACTACCCATGATATTGAGTTTATGGCCCAAGAATGTTCTTGGGAAGTAAACTCATGTTTACTCCCCAAATGATGAGTTTAAGGAGTTCTAAGTCCAATCCAATAAGTCCTTTAGCCATATCTAAGCTCCAATGGTGGTTTGGAAGGGTTTTAAGGGTCAAAAAACCCCTTTATATGTGTTCACGGCCCAAGAGTTTTCCAGGCCCATAAACACATGTTTATGGTCCTATTCCATGATTTAAACATGAAAATGAAGGCTAAGGATGTTATACTAGAAGCTAGGATAGTTACCTTGGTGATTTAAAGCTTGAAATGAGTGATTTTTAGACCTAAATCTTGGATTGAGGAGAGAGGTTAGAGAGACAAAGTGAAAAGGCTTGAAATGAAGCTTAAACCACTTTATATATTATTTGAATTTGATACACGGTGGAATTCTACCCGATACTGACATTAACCGAGGCTTTTGGTCGCACCCGATTAAATTATCGTAACCCGATATTAGCCAAACTAAAATTTTTCTAATTACTAGTTTGGGGTGTTTTCATGTGTTTCTAACGTGTTTGGATACTTACGAGGTCAAAATAAAAGTCGTAACTTAAATGACCTAATCCAAAAACGAAGTCGGAATAATTCGCTTAAGACGAGTTTTACGGACGGAACGAGTTACGGCGATGGAACAACTTCGGGTTGTCACATTATCCCACTGTTAGAGGGAATTTCATCCCAAAATTCAAAGATTAAGATACAAGTTATGGAAAAGGATGCAAATATTTCTACTGTATCGGGTCTTTGTGCTCCCAAGTGAATTTAGGTTCTCGCTTGGAATTCCAGCGAACCTTCACTATCGGGACATGGTTTTGTTTCATACGTTTGATCTCTGTGTCTATGGTCTCAATTTGTTCAAGAAGGATTACTAGGGTTTCATCGGAGAGGCACTTCTAGAGATTCGGGACGTGGAAGACAGGATGGATGTTTCTATGTTCTGAAGGTACTAGGAGTTTGAAGGCTACGAGATCGATCCTAACGAGGATCTCAAAGGGTGTGATGTACCACGAGTTAAGTTTTCCGTGCTTTCCATAGTGTATCATGTCCTTCCAGGGCAAGACCATTAACAGGACACGATCTCCAACCTAGAATTCCAGAGGTTTCCGTTGTATATCAGTATAATTCTTCTATCGATCTAGTGAAGTTTTCAATCGTTCTCGGATCTGGATGGTCTTCTCGACGGTTTCACGGATGATTTCAGAACCAACGTGGGTATTATCGGGGAATCGACTCTTGGCTAGCTGCGTGTCTCCTACCTTGACCTAACACAAGGGAATCTGTACTTTTGACTGTAGAGGGTTACAAATGGTGCAGTCTGGATACTGGTGCGATAACTGTTATTATATGAGGGATTGATCAAAGGTAAAGGGGTATCCGAAGTCGCTCAACAATTTATGAAACATGCTTCTAACATGTCTTCCATGACCTGAATAACTCTCTCACTCTGTCCAATTGTATGAGGATGATAAGTTGTACTCATGTCTAGCTTGGTTCCGTGAGTTTTCTAAAGGAATCTGCCTAAATCGTTGACTATATCCAATCCCTTTCCATTGGGAAGAGAAGGCTTTTATTGGGTATCCAATGCAACCATTGTCAATGTCCATTGAAGGTTGGGAAAGTTTATATACTAATCAAATTTGCTTTACCAAAGCTCCAAATCATTGTTGATTCAGCAGTACCAAGAAAATAGATAAGATCATTAAAAGGTTGTGTCATAGTCAATTTCATAGTAGTCCCAAAGATAACTCTCTATGTGACTTAGAAGTAATTGAACATCCAACTTTCTTAAGACTTTGACACCTAACTCTCCCGGATTGTCAATATGTGACTTCATCTCCAAGATGTGAGCACACATAGACCTTGCTTGCCATAGGGCTTGATTGACCTTGAACTTGTGGGTTAGGGAGGATAATTGGAGGAGATGGAGGAAGTGAAGTTCTAAGAGATTTGGGTAGAACATAGATGTCTGAACTAGACATCTTTGGGAGATATTCAAGATAGTTGATTTAAAGTCCTTAATATAACACCCAATATGAAATACTAAGGATAGGACCCAACACAATATTTTTATAACTTGGAAGAGGGATGTCGTAATCTAAGCTATAGAATATTTGAAGGTAGGTGAATGATGATTCACCAATTTCCACCATGAAAACGAAATAATTTAATTAGGTTTTACTTAGATTTCAAACTCCTAGATCTTTTGAGATTCATTGAACTGTTCAATGGCATGTTTCAATCTCGAGTGTGCCCTTCATGTTTTGTAACTGGGATGCCGAGGATCACAAAACAAGGTGTGAATAACCATGCAAATATACTTGGTACCCTTAATTTTTACCCATCAATCGATGTGCCGTTTAACCACACACGCTCCACCGATACTATGATACACATTAAGTTACCCTTTGCCTACCTTGTTAAATATGAGTTAGTGTTCCGGTTAACCACACACACTCCACTAACCGATTTAAACAAAGTGCAAAGTGTAATTTCATGGATTAGCACCAAATTCACGTTTTCCTAAGTAACTAAAATTGGGTATTACTAAGAGTTTAGTTACTTAGTATTTATCATTAATACTTTTAATGAAAGGTGAATTGTAGTCCTTGTCCTACCCGTTTGGCTAACGACCCTCCACCAGTCAAGGAAGCGGTGGGTGAGAGTGGACACCCATTAAACTGCCATTTTATAGGCAGTAACCTTATACTCTCCTTATAGACCGGCTTAGTGAATGAGGCCTACTAATGGTAAGACAACTTGCTCTTATACATATATATATATATATATATATATATATATATTATTAACTTATAATATTATAAAGTATAAGAGTTGAATTTTAACTTTTAAAATTTTAAGGGCTTAAGTTGGAATTAAAGTATTCATGGGAAAACTTTACAAATTCCAAAACTTGAGGGCAAGTTTTGAAATAATTCAAAACTATTTAATTCCATAACTTATGTGTTTAAAGTAGTTTTAATGACGAAAAACTCTTCAAGTTCCATAACTTGAGGACAAGTTATGGAAAACTTTAAACCATTAAAGAATGTAACTTTTCTTCTTTGTACTTATGGAACTAATTAAGGTTACACATTTTTATTATTTAATGAAGAGATGCTTGATCCTCCATAACTTGAGGACAAGTTATGGAGTTATAAAACCATTTAATGAGGACAAGACTCCTCATTTCACTACTAGAAAAACAGCCTTTTACGACGCTCATTGCGGGTCGTAAAAGGCTCAGACGACGCACAAATGCGCGTCAAGGAAGGCCCTGTCATAAAGAGAGACGACGCGCATTTACGACGCTCATTTACAACGCACAATTACGACGTGCGTTTATGACACGCAATGCGTATCAAGGAAGGCCCTGTTATAAAGGAAGACGACACGCATTCGTGTGTTGTAACCTTACGACGCGCGTGTTAATGACACGCAATGCGTATTAAGAAAGCCCCTGTCAAGAAAGGCCATGTCATAAATGAAGATGACACACATTTTTGCGTATCATAATTTTAAATGTTTAAAAAAAATAATCTTTAACTTATTTTCTAACTAAATTTGTATTTAATGTTTCATAATAGAAAATAAAATATCATATACAAAAAATAGAATCCATTGCTTAAATTTAATGTCATACAATTCTATTTCTTACAATATATAAATTTGCATCTAATTTACTATGTACATCAAATTCCAACTAAGTAACTTCACTTGCAGGAGGAATCAACTCCATGCTTCAAATCACCAATAGAATAATAACAAACTGCACCTAGAGTAGACTACCTTCTTTTGGCTCCATTACTTCCCAAAGAGATTGACTCCTTCCATAACACCAGATGGTAGTTCCTCCTTATCATTGGTATTGGAAATATCACAGAACTTGGTTTATTCCAAGATAATCTGATATCCTTAGTGCTAGGAGATGTTGGTGGGCATTAACCAATCAACCAATGAGAACTGATGGTGTAACCAACTAAAGAACATATTAAAAGCATTAATGTAATAAATAATAATTATTAAATTTAATATATTAATGACATAATCAGTTTTAGCTAACTGATAGTGTTATAAAATATGTTATTAACTAATATTATCATATCAACATTACAAACAGCAGATAAAAGATATAGCACCTTGAGTTATAGTTATGATTTAACATAAAAAAAATGATATTTTTAAATATTTGGTGCTAAAATTAAAAATAATCACCTTTGTGTTCCATTCCATGTTCTTTAACTTCCCATTTAGCATTAACAATTCGATCAACATACCTGCCAAGGGGCAATTTAGACCTTTACCAATACATATTTTCAGACTCTGCACTTTTCTTCATAATCCACTTGGACACAGTTTCACAGTCCACAAGGCGATGAGTTTCTTTTGTACACTACAACAATAACAAAAAAAATATTTTATCTTTTATATAGAAAAAACATAAACTAATATTTTAAACTTTTATAAAAATGCATGAATTATGATACTCACATTCCAACAAAAGTTGTATGAGTAATAGCAAGTTACATTATAGCTTCCACTTCCAAGATCAAACTCAATAGCACAATCACATCCAGGAGGAAGTTAGAAAAATCTTTTTTTAAAGTAGCCAACAAGATTCCGAATACAATTACAGAAAATAAAAAAAGTACCATGTATGGTCAAAACAAGATTCAGACTACAATTATAAAAATCTTTTTTTTTTAAAGTAGCCAACAAGAGTTGTCAAGAAAATAAACTTACAGTGACAGATCGCAAATATCTTCTCTGAAACAAATCGAATATTTTGGCCTTTGGGAGCTTTATTAGAGCTTTTGTAGTGTTTCTATATAATTCTATCAACATATTCAAGACCCCATTGATAACACATAAAAAGAATTCTATAATTTTTATTCGTTAACAAAAATAAGAAAAAAGTTGAGAGCTTTGAAATGAACACTTGGATTTCATCCGCCTCCACAGATATATCAGTATCCTTCCCTCTAAGTTTTCTTAGGGCTGCATCAAACTATTTCTTTCTTCCAATCTTTGCCTGCATGCATGATGTCAAACATAATTTCTTAAAGATAAATTAAACAGCTTCATGAATCATGATACTTCACATACCAACCATCTAGGAGATTCTGGTACAAAGAAAAGTCCCACCAATAGAACAGCACAAGGGATTAATCCTGCAAACAGAACACTAGAATTCATCACCTTTTATTTTCTTTATCCATAAGAATGCCACTAGTAGTAAATAAATATAATTTAGACTAATTTAAAACCTGTCAATGCCAAGGTCCTCCATGTTAGCACTGTACCAATTATAAAGGCAACAGACACTCCTGTACATATCTTGAATTCCACTAGTAGTAAATAAATTTAATTTTGGTGCACATCCCTGTAGTGTAGTGTACCAATAAATTATCAAATCAGTTTTTTATTTTTTTATTACTAATATATGGTGAAAATATGTATCTCATAGTCAAGATGCTTCCAGACGTGTCTCGCGTGCAACAAGTAGGAAACGCAGAGATTTTTCATTTTTATTTTTTGTTGTAGGAAGGGTATATCAGGCAACATATAAACTTTAAATGCTCCCCTCCTTTACTTCCAATTTTCAATTTCCTATTTCCTAATAATAATTAGTTATACCTGAAAAGGGTGTGAATATCAGTTGTAGTAAAGAAGCCTCTTCCATTAAGATCTAAACATCAGAAAAGATATGTAATTCCCTCTGGAGTGTCTTTGTTTTCCAGGGCTAGAACAAAGTTAAGGAAACTCTCAAAGCCCATCTCCTGAGCATTTCCTCTTCCCGTTTTACCCCTACGCACATGCTCATCAAAAGTTATTGGACAAATTAATATCACAAGTCATTTTGAATATATATAAATTATCAGGTTGAAAAAATAACAGAAAAAGATAAAATAAGAAAGTAATTCTTAGTTCTTACCCCTCTCGATAAAAAGCAATAGAACAATGTTCGGGTGATGCCTGATATAAAAAGCAACCATGTAAGTAAAGTCTGAAAGCATGAAATTCTTATGCATCAATAAAAGATTTCATGCAGCAAATAAGTTATATAAAGAACATTAAGATAGAAGGGATTTGCTAGTTGCTATTCAAAAAGTGCAGAGAAGACTCTGTAGCTTTTGATTCTTGAAAACTTTCTAAATTCTTTGAAAGACTCCCGACTGATTCTAAAAACTATTAAGTAATCAAATGCCCTATATTATCTATAACATAAATCAAAACTCATAGTTTTTTGTTCAGTTTCTTTTCATTTTGTTTTTTGGGTGATGTGTAACATGGTTTTCTACACACACACACACATACACACACACACACACACACACACACATATATATATATATATATATATATAAGCCACCATATGAAGCAAAAAGAGGAAGTTTTTGACCAAAGAACTCTAAAGAACAGTAGGGGTTGCTATAGCAGCAGTAAGATACTACCTGGATGGATGCTTGATCATCCTCATCAGGTATGACATTGACTACATCCATGGTATCGATACCTGTAGAAGCAGCCAAATCTCTATTAACTGTAGTTGATGGATGCTCTTGGATAGCTGATGATTGAGCAATAACTGTTTCACTATCACCCATAGTAAATAGGTGATTGATTGTATCTTAAACCTATATAGAAGATAACAACCGTGAACAACCAAGGTAACCATACAAAGGTGATAGCAGTTCCAAATTCTCAACCATGTAACATCTAATCAGTCCAAATAAACACAAAAGTGCTAAAAGTTATATATTTTAACTAGGGAATACAAGTAGAGGTCTAAATGAAGAACTAGATAACCTAATCATAATAATATTTCCAGTTAGCTATATTTGTGATACAGTTGCATGAAGAAAAGAAAGTCGCCACAACTTTTGCAAGAGTAGACTCAGTATGTTAAATAGGAATACAATATTGAAACTCGAAAGCCTACGAAACTATATCAATGTTTGTTTGAGTGTGGAGTACCTACTACATAATTAGAGATAATCCATTCATCAGCCAAGGAAACTCTATACTCTAGTCTTTTTATAAGTTCTTCAGTTAAGCTTTCTCATTAAAATTTCCATATCTCTGTAACAATCAACCTTAACGCAAACCCTAAAGGTTGTCATCTCTGTGGCAATTAACATGCATAAGTTATATATTAAGTAGTAACAAAACCTAAAAAAAGAATACCAATTGTATCTTTTGATTTTGATCAACTGTTAACACTTATATTCCTTTTGTTATCCTATATCACTTTTCCGTCCATATGAAGCCCTTCGGACCCACACATATTCAAAGTTCACAAGTACGATGAAGTGAATAGGTGAATCTCCGGTTGCCTCTGTATACATTATCAAAAAAAATGTTAAAAACCTGATGCAAGTAGGGTCTTCTGATAGCAGTCTCAAAATCAATAATCTTGGAATCAAATTCTTTAGCCTTCTTGTACAGCTCTTCCCTAATGGCGATATAAGACTTCACCTCTTCAGCTTCTGTTACGCCTTCACTTACAGGTTTAGAAGGTTTCTCCACTGCATCCGGATGAAATTCGCATTCACTTTCTTCAATATTCGCTTTGTCTTTAGAATTTGTTGTAGTTGCAACTTCCTCAGGGGTTTTCAGTTCAGATAAAGGGCGACTTGCTATTAATCCCTAAAGTTGTAAACTGTAGGAAAGAGTATGACCATGTTTAGTTTATTTTGGACCTAAAAAAAGCTAGAGGCTCTTCTACGTAAAAAAATGTATATCACCTGTTATAATAGCGGTCCAATTGCTGATTAAGATGCTTCGATATCCGTGTGTATATCAATGCAAAATTGGACCACTATTGTTGTTGGTACTCGTATTCGATGTATTTATCCCATAAAGGAAAAGATATATAGGTAATCAGTTCCAGCATAAGCTTGTATTTGATGTATTTCGAGATCAAAATCAAAATGTCGCCATCGTTAGATTAACTGCCTGGCACAAGATCTTGTTCGATTAAATTTATGAAAGAAGAACGCAAGCAACTGGGAGGATATAAGAACCAAGGTCGCCGGCAGGTGGGGCGAGCGGAGGTAGCGAATGTTCCAGAGATCACTCCCGTTTGGTTTCTTCTTGAAAAAAAAGCCCTAAATTTGGACGCCTTTTGTAATTGAGGATAATGGATGTGCATTTGGTAAAAGAATTATAAAACGATGCCTTTACAATCCAGAAGGTGGAGGATAGATTTGGAGAAAACCTGGTGGAGAAGGAGAGACGAGAAGGTGGTGGTGTGGATTAGGGGTTGTTCAAGTGGTAGCTTCGATTAGGGGGTGGAGACGAGGGAGAAGAAGGCAGGGGTTTAAAAAATTTGGAGATTTCATTTTCCCTCTAACGAGAAGCGCGTTTCTTAAAAAAAATATAAAACGACATTCATAGACGGCGCACCTTTTAGATAAAGTGACCTCTGTGTTTTTAATTTTTTTTACATGAGACACTAATTTAAGGGCACGCAATAATGCGCGACCTAAATTCTTAAATTTTTTGAAGAGATAACACTTTTTTAACGTCACTCTCTTTTGCGTAACATAAATCTCCGAGTGTCGTTGTTTGCGTGTCGTAAAAGGGTCTTTTTCTTGTAGTGTTTTGTAACCTTTGCCAACTTTTATGCGTTTTAAGAAACTTAAATGTGACCTTTCATGTAACTTGAGGACAAGTTACACAAGCACATTTTAGAAAAAATTCTTAGATTAAAATGGATTAAAGACACATAATCAATCAACTTTTCTATTAATCTAAGCAACTCATATGAACAAAGATAATTAACATAAAACTTTTTAATGTAATTAGCATAACTCTTAAACTAATACAAAACATGAATCTATTGACAATTATGTTTAAAATTGGATTAGTATGAAGATTAACACATCAAAAATAAGTTTATTAGTCCAAAAACAGCTTAGGGTAATGTTCCTAGTCCAATTCCAGCCAAAACAATCAAATATATGTTGTCAGGGGGTCGAACTCGTCGAGTGCATGAACCAACTCGACAAGTTGGATGCTTTTTGCCTTGGACTCGTTGAGTCACTTCATGGAATCGGTGAGTCTGCTGTGCAAACAGCAACAAGATATGATTTTCTGCCAATTTTTGCAAGTATAACAAGAAAACAATCCTAGGCTCTGAACCACTATTGGGTTTTTGAGCATTCTAACAGTCCTAAGTGTACATGCAACCGTAAATACCTTGGATCTATGGTTTCTCTATTATACATGCAAATATGAAATTTCCAAGGTATTCATCCTAACTAGCATAATAACATTGATTCATATGAATATCTCAAGTTAGAATTACATACCTCTTTGATGTGGAATGTATTCATGAAGCTTGAGTTCCTAGTGCCCCAAGTGTGACACCTCAAATGGTTCGCACAACACCAAATACACTTGGAATAACTTGAGAGAATATACACACTTCATGAAAATCGGCTAGCCCTTTCACATAAACTCTAGTGCCCGATTTTGTTAACAATAAGATGCTTATATAGTTAGTGACAATTAGGGTAAACCCTAATTGCCATGGCTTTCCATTTCCTTGGATCCATGGGTTCAAATATACCACAGAGCATCCATGGAGCATCTTATGGGTTTTAGCCCAACTTGAGAATCCATGGAGCATTAGCCCACTATACAAGTATGGATGATTTACACAATCAACCCATATACTTAATTAGTCTTCTTTTGATCACTTAATTGATTCTAAATTAATTCTTGATCAATACTAATTAAATAATCTTATTAATATATTAGAACTTATAATATATTAACAAAACTTAAGTGTTATTTCTCTCATTATAGTCTATCCAAATGCATGATGCCATGCAACCCAAATGGACCATGTCGGGTCGGGTTATGGACTTAGAGATTAATCCAACACCTTATACACACAGATGTGTGTGGACCCTTCAGAACCGCCACTAGGGATGCTAACCGCTTCTATGTGACTTTTACTGATCATTACAGTACATATGGTTATTTCTAGTTAATCAAGCATAAGCCGGAAACCTTTGAAAAGTTCAAAGAGTTTAAACAGGAAGTGGAGAATCATTTGGGCAGGAACATTAAGATGCTCTGATCTGATAGAGCAGGAGAGTATCTTAGTACATAGTTCCTTGATTATGTTAAGGAATGTGGAATGGTTTCACAATCTACACCTCCCAGAACACCACAGATTATGGTGTGGCTGGGAGGCGCAAACGAACCTTGTTAGACATGGTTCGTTCCATGATGAGTCGAGCTTTGTTACGAATCTCATTCTGGGGGTATTCCTTTGAGATTTCCGCTCATATCCTAAATCTAGTCTCTACCTATAAGGTTGCCAAAACACTTCACGAGATGTGGACTGGGAAAGTTCCCAATTTAGACCACATCAAGATTTGGGGTTGCGAGGCTTTCATGACACGTGAGACTCAGGACAAGATCGAACCTCGAAGTGAGCGGTGTATTTTCATCGGCTACCCATAGAAATCCTTTGGTTACCACTTCTACAGACCCAGTGAGAATGTGGTCTTTATGGCAAGGAGAGGGGTCTTTCGAGAGAGGGAGAGTTTATAAGCCAAGGAAACAGTGGGAGGCAAATTGACCTTGAAGAACTTCAAAAGTCAAGTAGTGAAGGAACCTCAAACCCTAACAATCAACCTGAGGAGGAACCCCCTGTTAATGAGTCTATACCTCTGACGTGTTCCACAAGAGTTAGGAATCCTCCTGAGCATTACTATGGTTTTCATATTACTGCGCAAGGTGATGCAATTATTAGTGATAGTACACTGGTAAATTTGGATGAGCCTAACAACTTTAAGGAAGCCATGGCAGGCCCTGAGTCCACCAAATGGAAAGAGGCCATGGACAACATGATTTAGTCCATTTATGACAATCAAGTTTGGAACTTTGTTGACAATGTATCGGGTCGTAAGATGGTCGGTTGCAAATGGATCTTCAAGAAGAAGACCGACATGTATGGGAATGTACACACTTATAAAGCGACTGGTTTCAAAGGGATTTACTCAAACTCTGGGAGTTTATTATGATGAGAACTTCTCACCAGTAGCGAAGATTAAGTCTATTAGGGTTATCCTAGCCATAGTTGCATTTCATGATTATGAAATATGGAAAATGGATGTCAAAACCACTTTCCTTAATGGAAAATTGGCTGATGATGCTTACATAAGCCAGCTGGAGGATTTTGTCGATGCAAAGCACCCTAAAATAGTGTGTAAGCTTGAGAAATCCATCTATGGATTGAAATAAGCATCTCGTAGATGGAATCTTTGTTTCGATGAGAAAGTCAAAGAGTTTGGTTTTTCAAGGAGCGAAGATGAGTCCTGTGTATATGTTAAGGATACTAGGAGTATAGTTAGCTTTTTGGTATTATATGTGGATGGCATATTACTCATGGGAAATGACATCCCAACTTTGTAGGAGGCTAAGTCCTGGCTTGGGATGTGTTTCTCTATGAAGGACCATTGAGAAACTGCCTATATCCTAGGGATAAGGTTATTGAGAGACAAGAGTAAGAGACTAATTGGACTTAGTCAAAGTACCTACTTGGATAAGGTGCTGAAAAGGTTCAACATGCAGGATTCTAAGAAAGGTGACTTACCAATCCAGAGTAATGCCAAACTAAGTAAGATTCAGAGCCCAAGTATAGAGGTTGAGATAGCTGAGATGAGTCGAGTACCGTATGCTTCCGCTGTAGGCTCGATCATGTATGATATGACTTGTACTCACCCTGATGTGGCTTTTTCTTTGAGCACAGTCAACAGATATCAAGGGAATCCGGACAAGTCTCACTGGACTATGGTGAAGAATATTCTCAAGTACCTACGGAGGACTATGGATTGGGTACTTACCCTTGGTGGGAGTGATGACTTGAGAGTGGTGTGGCATAGTGATCCTAGCTTCCAGACTCATAAGGAAAATTTCTGCTCTCAGTCGGACTGGGTCTTTACCTTAAATGGAGGAGCAATTACTTGGAAAAGTTCTAAGCAGGAAACAGTGGTTCATTCAACTTGTGAATCAGAGTAGATAGCAACAAGTGAGGCAAAAAAGGAGGCAATATGGCTAAAGAACTTCATTGGAGACCTTGGAGTTTTACCAGCCATTAAGGAGCCTATGGAGATTTTCTGTGACAATGAGGGTGCAGTTGCCTTAGCTACGGAGCCAAGGGATCAAGGCAGATCTAGGCACATCGACAGAAAATACCACTTCATTAGACATAGGATAGAAGAAGGACTCCTCGTGGTAAAGAGGGTATCATCGGATAAGAACCTAGCAGATCCCCTCACGAAGGGACTGTGTAGGGTTAAGCATTTGCAGCACATGGGGCGCATCAGGCTGAAGGATGATATTAGTTTTACAAATTAGATAGCTATTTCTGAAACTTGTAAAATGTAATAGACATTTGATGATTAAATAAAAGTTGCTGTTTATTTATAAGTAAAGTGTTGCTATCTTGTGTCAATTGTTTACTATTGTTCAATTTTGCATGTTTTGACTTTTAGAATAATTACTTTATTCAAACTCTCCACGGTTAGTCATATGTTGGAAGTAGGTATGAATTAATACTATCATGAATTGGGCTTGTAGGTGTCTAAGATGTTAGATATAGAAAAAGTTGCTACAACATTCATGAGTGCTCATAAGTTTTGAGTATTGGATTCAACTCACGCTCACTTGTATCACTTCATGGAATTTATCTCAAGTGACGGTAATATCATATAATTCTTCAAACCTGGAGATATGAGTTTTTGATTATGAGTTGGTTGTGCATTGATTGTACGAAAATGCATCGATAACTCGATGCTATAGAATGTGATTTTGTGTATGATTCAACAAGTAGTTAGTACAAGCATATGAGTCGAAGTTTATCTGTTCCTTGTAATCCTTGGAGGATTAAAAGCAATATTTGGGCCCCTCGATGATTTTGTTTTGACATATGTGTCCGGCCCGGTCAGAACCAAATTGATGTGTTCAGTTTAGTTCTATGTAAAACAAATCGGAAATCGGGAAACAAACTACTGGACAATAAGTATGACATTGTTCCATGTATTTTTCCATCTTATATCTAAAATAGAGGATTATATAATCTCTTATCTTAAATGGCAGGTCATCTTAGTTCCGCGAGAATTTGAAAGAGCT